GGGTCAGGAGAGGTCTGCTGCCATGTGGGTCAGCTCCCAGGTGGGGGATCGAACTCATGCTGAGTGGCTTTAGCTTCTTAGTGCTGTGCTTTAACCTGCTGTGCCACCCGGGAGGGCTGATACCTTGCAGAGCTTTTAACAAAGCCCTGCATCCTCACCCTCTCGAGACTGTATTTTCTTATTCTAAAACAAATTCTAAAATTTAGAATTGTAAAATTCTAAATATGATGAAACCATCATAAAAGATCAGACATGAGGCCCTCCCTAGGTCAGACCTCTCCTGACCTGCCCGCTGCTCCCCTCAGCAGTGTACTTCGTTGATCTGCCTGTTCTGCTCCCCACTCTGTGTCTGGGGAATCCTCTCACCACGCCTCACCTCTGGCCTGTACCCCAGTTCTGTATGCATAAATAAATCTTTAAAAAATATATATATATATATTTAAAAAGATCAGACATGAGTGATGGTAAATAGTTACTTGGTGTAGGACCTCTGTCTGAAAACCTGTCTTCCATGTTTGTGGATATTTTGTAGCTTAAGATATAATGAAGCCAGGAGAGGCTTCTAGAATGGCATCCTCCGGTTATAAGTAGACATGGGCGTGAGGGTAGGAAGGGATAAAAGCAACCTGAAATGTACTTCAGCAGAATGAATACTTCAGATAGGAGAAATAGTGATGAATGGCACCCAGGGAAAATGAATCAGCTTTGGGACCCAAAGGGATAAATATTGACAACTCTGAGCAAAAAAGACAAAAGAAAGAAAGAAAAGGTGTAACGCCACATAAGAATAAAAAGCAGGACTATTTATTTCTGAGGGATACCTGCTTACATATACAGTGAGAGGATTTTTTTTAATGCTTGGTGATGGCGAAACACCAGAGTCAAAATCTGGGGATGGGGAGGAGGCTGTATGATCTGGGAGAGGAATTCACAGAGTATACACATGGCGTCTGCTCCCTGAAAATGGACGCTAGATGCATGACGATTCCCTCTGCACTGTTTCAAACCCCTTAAACTATTTGAGGACACCCTTGTGATGGGGTCAAAGGTCCTAGAGAGGCATCCGCACTTAGAAACGGCCTCAGAAGTTGCTGGAATGTTTTAGTAGCCAAGGCTGTTGTATGTGTACAGCCTCGCTGCCCGCGCCATGTTACAGACCACCAAGCCAACAAAACACAAAAGCTTGTCGTGTCCACATTCCAGACAGTCGACAGTCTCCTGTGTTGTCACTACTCATGTTCCTAATTATTATTAAATGCTTTTAACTTAGGCTGATTTTGAGGAAATGTTATGAAAACATAGATGGAGAGTGAGGTGTGAAATTGAGCTCAGATCCCAGAAGGATAAATGAACAGTCTGTGCTGCCAAACAGTCCCAAATCAGCTCTGAGCCTTCAGGTCGGCTGGGCAAGAGGGAAACCTAGTGAATTCCAGAAATCAGCTCAGTAAGAAAAAAAAAAAGCTGAGTTTTCCCTGGTTCTAAAAATTTGGGGAAGAATTAATCACAAGGGTCCTTACGTACAGGGCGCAGAAGTATTCCGAGGTGCTTCTGCTGATTTGCTCTCCGTGGCTCTCCTCAGGGTGCTTACAGGGCTCAGGTCACCCCTGGGGCTTTTCCTGGCCCCAGCCTGAGTCAGGAGTCGGCGGCCCCGCTGCCTGGAGCTTCACCTCCTGCCATTCTTCTCTGAGTTGGACCCCACCCACCCCCCCAGTCTGCTTTTCTCCATACCGAGGACTTTCAGCTCCCGGGCATGTCCACTCCCCTCCCTTGGGGATGCCCTTCTCCCAGTCCTGGCAGAATTTGAGTCCTCTCATTCAGATCTCCAGGCGAAAGTCATCCCTCCCTCCTCCAGAGCCACCGCCAGACCCAGGCAAGGAGGAATGAGAAGAGGGAGGAGAGCTAGAGGGAGGAAAGGAGAAGAGGATGAGGGAAAAAAAGAAGGAAGAGGAGTAAGAGGAAGGTAAAAAGGGAAGAGGGAGGAGGAGGAAAGAAGATGCTAACCTGGGGCTGGCTCCTACCCGCAGTCCTGAGTGACGCACCTGGCGCGAACTGAAGCCAAGGAAGCAACAGCTAGAGCAGCGTGTGTTCAGTTTTGAGCTAAGCGTGGCCACTTAGGTCCTCCCCAAGTGTCCGGTGGCGTCCCTTTCAGAAAGTGAGGCTCAGGGCACACTGGGGGTGGTAGTCTACAGCCCCTGCACCTCACTAGCTTGCCATTCAGAATCTCACGCACTGGCTCAGAGTTTGCTCCAGGCTGCTGAGATTGTATAGAAACCCAGAGAGGCTTTTGCCAAGCCCCCAGTTCTGGTGGGATGGTGACCCAGCCCAAAGAGCACGGGCCTGTACATGAAGCATTAGCACACGCTAATATGTTATTAGCATGTGACCGGGTAGTACACAGGGACCCCGAAACTGTTAAGGGATGCATGCTTTAAAAGGGATCCAGCCATCGTGTGTACAAAGGCAAAGGAAGCAGACTCTTATTGTGAAAGATGTCTCATAGAATTGTGGGTGTGTGTGTGTGCGTGCGTGCCTGTAAGGAGAGAGAAAAGAATGTCCATAACAGCTTCGCAATAAAGCTCCAAAAATTATTCATTCCATCATGTGCAAATGCCCAACCTAACAGGCTTGGCCTGAAGAGAGACCACTGAGGCCCTAAAACTTGCCGCGAGATTCAGACAGCCATTCACAGTACCAGATGTTGCAGGAAGGGATACAAAATCCATCCTTATAAAAATGCTGGTGCTTGTTAGCGCCAGATGATCGTGCGACAGCCGCATTAATGGGAAATGCACTGCACCATTCTTCCCCTGCCGGGACTCATACATATTGGATGTGCAGGGAGTTCGTAGATTCTATAAAATGATTTTCAAGGTTCCCTTAAGTTATGCCTGGAGAATAATCTATGTGTCTCTTAATGCTTTCTGCTAAGCTAGATTTTCATGATTATTTCTCCAGAATTACTTTATTTAACTCCCACTGTGCCACGGGTCTTCTTGTGTCATTTTCCGTTTGTTTTCCAAGTTCAGTGAGAGATACCTAAATAGCCTCTGAGGCAAAGGTGGTCAGCCACATTCTGCATCTGACCAGGGCCTCGTTCCAAGATGTATAACGAACTCATATAGTTCAAAAACGGAAAGCAAATAAGCCATTCAAAACGTGGGAGGAGAGCCACACAGACACTTCTCCAGGGAAGACCTACAAAGGACTGGCAGGCGGAGAACACGCTCATCGTCACTGATCATCAGGGAAATGCAAAACCAGAGCGAGCCGCCACCGCACCCGGTGGGAACGGCCAGCGTCTAAAAGGCCAGAAGCAACAGGTGCAGGTGAGGGGACACAGGAAAAAGAAAGCCAATGGGGGGGGGGGAAATGAAGCGATAACGACTGATAAGAAGCCTGGGTTGAATATCGTTGAGTGATAAAGGGGGACACAGCCCATCTTTTTTTTCTCCCCCTTGTTCTAAACCTCAGGGTAAGGATGGCATCGGCGTGACTGACCATGTAAAATTACATTTTCTTGCAGATCAGCTGTGCGGAAGCTGGGTGCGAGCGTATTTGAGGAGGTCTATAATTACCTCAAGAGAGCAAGGCGGCAGAAGGCCAGCGATGCAGAGATCCGCGCCTCTCTGGAAAAAGTGGTGCCGCATGCCAGCGACTGCTTTGAGGTGGACAGGCTCCTCTACTTTGAGGAACAGTTGCTGATCGCAGCAGGCGAGGGCCGCCGCCTCCAGAGTCATCCCTCAGCAGCTGCCAAAGCCCAGCTCGCGCAAGGGGAAATGAAACCGTTGAACGCATAGGCTGGACCCGGCTGTGGGAACAGGGGCTCGGCCGCCACCACGGTCTTCCTTTCCGTTGCTTGTCAAAAGCGAGGCTACACTAGAGTGCAGGAGATGCCTGCCTGGCCCACAGGGCTGGGCAGTGAGTGCTGGCCCTAAGCTGGTGGGTCAAGCTGGGGGTTCTGGAAAGCGCCACAGCCTGCAGGGCCATGCCTGGCCACCACCAGAAGCCCGCTGCTCTCTGCCGCCCCCATGTGGATGGACTCGGCACCTGGCCACCTTGGGTCACTGTGCCGAGGCCAGCCTGCTCCTGGAGGCCACCAGACACAGGCCTCTGACTCGCCGAGTGGCCACCCAGGAGTCAGACACGCTTGTCTCGGGTCACCCGATTCTGGTTCCTTTGGCTCTTCTGCGATCACTAAGCAAGACCTGGTTTCAAGACCCCACGAGCTTGAGCTCCCAAATTCATCGATGGGTTATTGAAGACTTTGTGCTTAATAAAATAGCTTGAGGCTTTCTAGAAAGAAGTGAAAACCCCAAAGAAATGGTAGCGGTCAGGCCTGAGCACTTACAGACTATTTTGACAGGAGGGTGACAGATTTGTGTAAGTGACAAGACAAAGGAAAAGGGACTTGAGCCCCGCAGGGGGGTTACTTTGGGGGAAAAGTGACTGGGAAATATATTGGGGAAACTAATGACAGATCAGGGTGGTTTATGTAGATTGATTTGTTCAGATCTCTCTCAACATCCATCCTGTGCTAAGAATGAGCCCCTTTTCCTGGGCCTGGAGAGCACTGTTCTCATGGGAAATGTGTAGAAAGAGGAGGCCAGGGGTGGGGTCTTCCTGCATCTGCTGTTTTTTAAATGTTTTCAGTCAGAGTGCTCCCAGTGCCTGGTGTGGCACTCGGGAGGGTGAGGGGGGCACATTTTGGTGCCATACATTGGGACAACAGGTGCAACCTGAAAATATCCCACCCACCTGGGATGGATGCTGTGGACCATTTCAGGCGTAAGAGAAAGGAAAACTCGGAAGAAATGCCACTTTGGATCACAGCGCCATGCCCTGTAAAGGGAACTTCCTCCTCTTCCCCAGGAGTGCGGGGTGGGAGCACAGGATTTAAGATGTTCAGAAGGACGGTGCCATTTAAGACTGCCTGGGAAATGCTTCCCCCCTCAGCCACACTCTGTCTTCAGTTTGGGCCACTCTAGTGTATTTATCACTCATCCAGCTGCAAGATAGTGAGTGAAGACTGGTAGAGGAATTGAAGAGCTGGAAAGTTGGTGTTATGAAACAGTCACTGGTATAGCAAAGGGACCCTGCTAGGTTGCTGCTGTCTAAAATATATATATATATATATATTTTTTTTTTTCACGAATGCCAATTGACCTTTCTGCTTTCTATTTATGCAGAGGAAATGCCACCAGCTATTTTGGGGGATGTGGAGATAAGGCACACAAAGGAGAGTGCTGCAAGTTAATTATTTAATGTAGTTGGGGCTGAGACTGGAGTAAAAGTCCTATGTCAATTATATTCTAAAAAGAACCCAGCGTCACAGTGGGCTCCAGAAAAAGGAGGCTAACAGATTAAATGGGGGGGGGAGGTGAGGGGTGGGAAGAACACCCCAGTCTTCTTTTAAGATGATAGGATACTAACTAATGCATCCGAAGAGAATGGGACCAGGGAGAGACAGACACGGACAGCCACAACCTGTGTAAGGAAAAAAGAAATTTGAACTTGTTACCAAATGACTTGGATTTTAGACTCATTGTTGCCATTCACTGTGCCAGCCAGAACAAGTCCTTTTCTCTCTGGGTCTCACTTTCCTGCCCATGCCTGAACATTGATGTTGCCGGGGTGCAAAAGAAATCATCTCCTACCCCTCTGGGTTCTTGTAGCCTGGGAAATAATCAAACAAGCAACAGGCAGATCAAAGTTCAACATAAGTTTAATAATCATAATGCTTTAAAGAACAAAATTCACAGATTTCAAGCTCGGACTGTCTTTATGAAATGCTTCATGAAGCAGGCAGCCTCCCATTGAGATACTGCAAGGCAGCTACTGACAGAGATGCGATGAAGTAGTTAGCAAATGAAAAGATGAAATCACCTGCTCAGCAAACCCTGAACCAGAACCCTCCGCTAAGCCATTCCTAATTCCTGACCCACAGACACTGTGAGGTAATAAGTTCTTCCTGTTGGAATGTGTGTACACTTCTGCAGCAAATCAGTAGACAGAAGGCAAAGGTTGGTGGTGCAGTGGGTTAAAGTGCAGCACTAAGAAGCCATCTGCAGCCTCTTCAGCATGAGTTCGATCTCCAGCCAGGAAGGTGACCCACGTGGTGCAGCAGGCCTCTCCTGACCCGCCCACTGCTCCCCTCAGCAGTGTATTTCAGTCCATCTGTTCTGCTCCCCGCTCTGTCTCCGGTGAATCCTCTCACCCACCACATCTCTGGCCTGTACCCCAGTTCTGTAAGCATAAATAAACAAATAAATTAATTAAAAAAGAAAAAGAGCTTCTAGCCCTCGCCTGAGGTCCTGGTGGACAAACCCCATTGGGGCGCTCTGGCTGGTAGCCCCTCCGCCCCACCCCCCACACTGTATATTATTCAGAATTGGTGCTTCGCAATCTGTGTATTTGAAATACACAGGGAATTTTTTGAGAGTTAAGTGAATGATTGAAAAACTACCTGGCAGATGGTGACTGTTGGTCACTTCTTTCTCACCACACCGACTCTCCCTCTCCTGGACCAGAAGGGACAGTCTATGAAAGGATTGTGTGAAATGCAAAGTTTCATTCAAATGTAAATTATAACCTTTACCTTCAGCTTCATGTGAAGTCAGACATCTTTTTATTTTTAACTTTTTTTTTTAGTAGGGAAAACATCAAACTATATAAAAGTAAAGAGAATAATAGAATAAGTCCTTAATGGAGGTATCGTGCGGTTTCAAAAAATGATCAGTTTGTGGTCAATCTTATTTTATTTATACTCTCGCCCACTCCCCCCTTGCTGGGCTATTCTTATATCATTCATAAATATTTCAGCAGCTATCTGGAAAAGATAAAGACTCTAAAAAAAATTCAGGGTACAATTTCACACATAAAAAGTTACAACTCTTAGATTAAATGTCTCTAAAAGTTTTTTTTTTTCCTTTAAATTAGGATCCAAAGACAGGCCAGTGCTTTGTCAGGTATGTCTCCTTAATCCCTTCCGTATAGACCCACCTCCCCCTCTCCTTTCCATTTGTAGTTTATCTACTGAAAAAAAAAAGGTGACTTGTCCTATAAAGGCTGGATCTACCCTTCTGATTTTTAAAATATAAACTATTATTTAGTTAAAGAGTTGTACAAAAATTGTGAAGTACGTTATCTATATTAGTTAACTATACCGGACTGACATCGATACATTATTATTCAAGTCCACACTATATTCAGATTTCCTTCCTTTTCACCTAATGTCCTTTCCCACCCAGGACACGCTCCGGTAGACCATGTGACACCATCTTCATGAAGCCTCGGGCCCTCTTTGTTGTGACAGTTGCTCATACGAGGTGGTCCTCATACGTCAGGACGCTGAGATTGGAGGTGTGCAGGTCAGCGTCCCTCCGCTGGGGGGGGGGCGTGTCTTTTGGGGGAAAAGAGGACTAGCGAGACCACATTCATCACGCCTTCTCAAGGGTCCACTCAACAGTGACTTTGACTGTACCTGTTGACCTAGCTCACCTGGCTGAGATACTCTTTGCAGGTTTCTCTGCAAAGCCACAGCGCTGGTTCCTGCAGCTCCTCATACACCTTTCCACACTGTCTAGCTGGGAGGATGTCACCAGTCACTCCACCCCCAACTCTTCCTCCAGGGCTGAGGAGCTACAGAAATGTTTTAAGTTCTTCTATATACTTTTGTCTCTTCTCCATTTATTAACTGACTATGTCCGATTATTGTTTTTATACGTTAGATTCTCACCCAGTGCTGCTGCTTTGTTGATTCAAGTTTGACCATTCTGAGCTCTTTCAGTTGGTTATTGCTTCTCTGCCCCTTTTCAACATACTTTCATCAAGTCATCAAGACGTTTTGTTTTGTTTTTTTCCTTTTCATTGAAAATAATTTTTGGCACCCTGCTCCAGGCTCATCATTGTTACCTAACGCTGGTCTCAGTTTCCCTCAGCCAATAAAAGGAAACAGTTTGAGGAAGAGGAAAGTGGTTTTATTTGTCAACAAATGAGGAGGGCAGCAGACTCATGTCTAAAAGACCATTGTCCTGCCCTTTGGCAACTTACAGGGCTTTTTATACAATGTTCAACAAAGAAAAGGGGAGCTGGTAAAATTTAGTGTGGGAATGTAGACAGGTGGGCACCAGCCTTTATTTATGCAAAGAGAAAACAAAATACCCAACAAGAGTATTGGGGAGAGGGACAGGGAGGAAGAGGAGTCAGCCTCAGCGAGCTTTCTCACCATTTGCTTTTGTTTGGGATTCCTTTCCTTGAACCTAACCCTGTCTAGGAAGAGGAACTGCAAGGAAAACAAACTCACAATCAGTTAAGAGCTCTGGGAAAACCAATTCCCTCGTAAGTTTGTCAAAGGAGGCAAATCCGCAAATGCTTATCTGAGAGCCCATTTACTGTATCGTCATGTTTTTATCGTTGGCGTTTTCAGCTCCGGTGCCTGAATCAGTCATTTTCTTAGACGTCTTGGCTCCTCTTATTGGAAAGTGGTATTGGAGCTCAACATGTGGGCCCCAGCCCAGGTACGTGGGTTGCTCCTGGGGTGTCAGAGCTTCCATGACACTGGCTCTCGGCTGACAGGGCGAGGGGACAGACGTGCTCACTAGCTCTGCTGTGCACACTCGTCTGTAACATGCTGTATGGAGCTGCCTGCGTCTGAATTATTCTAAACGCCAATTCATACCGATGTCACCAGCCCTCAGCCACTAGCACATAAATCCTTCTAGCTCCTTCTTGATAGTTGAGAACAGTATTCTTTGGTATTTCGTGTAAATTGGTAGTTAGATCCAGACGCAAGTTCAGTTTCTTGGCAAGCATATGTCATAGGAGGCGGTGAGTTCTGCAGTCACCAGGCACATAACATCAAGGTTATTTTTAGTGACATTAGCAGCCATTGATGTCATTTCCTGGGATCTATTTATTCTTGAAAGTTCAGAAAATCATGACATTCTGATTGGCTCCTTCCTTCTTCTTTGATTATCTGGAATACTCGGAACTAAAACTTCCCCTCACCTACTGTTTGATAGCCCTGACGTAGAACCTGTCTAAAAACATCAGAATGCATGCTTAATTCTTTTCCTCTTTATTTTGAAACAATAATGGGGTCCCTACCTTCTCTGAGGCTGCCCACTGGGCTGGTTTTGGTCTGGAACTGGTGGTGGTGGCTGGTGAAGCACACCCATTTCTCAGTAATCTATCTCCAGACTCCACTCCTGGACTACCTGCTTGGGGTGGGGATTGAGGAAGGAATAGGGGCTCAGCTCTCCAGTTTGGGAAGTGACGGCAAGGCTGGGGGAGGGGCTGTCACCAGGCTTCTATATTGTTTCCAAAAGGCTCTGGTCTCCCAAGTCATTACCTCTTGTGTTGTTGCCTCGATTTGATAGATTAGAAATAGTTCAAGAAAGCAGATAAGCAAAATACCACAGCCCAGAACTCTGGGAAAGATAGGTTTGACCCTACATCCTTCAAGGCGGCTGGTCTAGAAGAGAAACCAAGGCATCTTTGGGATGTTAGGAGATAGGGTTAGGGCTCTGCTCCTCAACCTTGGTTATTTACTAAATCTACCCCAAAGACATTTAAAAACCACCCAGGCCCCAGATCATTGCCAGAGATTCTGATTTAACTGACCTAGATCCTGAAATTGGCACTTTTTCATGTACTTTTCACAAGGCAGTCCTATATTTATTCAGGGTTTTCTTTATTTTTCGAACTAAAGTATTGCTGCAAAATATTATGTAAAATCATTGAAAATGAGTATGTACAGACGACATTAGCTCACCACCGAGAGCCCAGCCCTCCTCTCCTCCCTGCAGTGGTCCCCTAGAGTCTCACAGGCTAATGAGTTGTCACACCCACAGCCTCATCACCTTACCTAGTGCCTGAGTGTTGCCTTTGCCATGTTGGCTGGAAATGACAAGCTCAGGGATGTCTCACGCTCCCCTTGGGGAAGCAGGAATCTGGGGGAGCAGGGTAGGGCAGAGCTCCAACCCTCTGTCCTGACTCTATGTCAGCAACTCTGCCCTCCAGTGATGGTGATGGATACCATCACCCGGCACTGCCCCAGGCTCGGTGTCCCCGAGCTGTCATCCTCTCCACTTAACAGGTGGGTGAGCAGGGATGAGAGTTACATGACTTACAAGGGCACAAGGCTGTGATTGGGGTCCCTCCAGGCTGTCCTGTCCTGGGCTGTCACTCACAGACAGCCCCGCCCTCTCAAGAAGCTGCCTCCTCCTCTGCATAGCTGGAGATGTTCAGACTGACTGTATCCCTGAGCTTCTCGTTTTTTAAAGCAAACTACTTACCGACTGGCAAGAACCGGTTTCCGGCTAGACATGCCCTTCTCTGAGACCCGCGCAAGGTAATTTTTTCACTTTCCTTTGCTCCCTAGGAACCAAGGTCAGCTTGACCAAAAGCCAGTGAATGCTAGAGAATGTCCTCTATGACCAGTCCCAATGCTGGGTCAGTTCTAGCCTTCTGCCCTCCACCCTTTGCCTTTAAACCCCCTTTAAACAAAGACCCCAGCAGGGCAGAATTTGGACTGATACCTGAGTTTGTCCTCACCAATATGCAAATCTAAGACTTCCAAATACATTCTTCTAGCCTTGTGGTGTTTTCTTAAGTCAATACAATAAACTCCGACTCAGTGCAGAGGCCCTTGCACAGCGTGGAGGGCAGAGACAAGGTGAAGGCCTGGGCGGCACTGGGGGTGCACGCATCCTGGCTCCTCAACATCAAGCCCCAGAAGCTCCCTGCTCCAGACAAGGGGAGGTGCGGAGCTATTCCTGACCTTGCAGCGCAGCTCAGAGGTCCCAGTGTGTGTGGGCCAAGTCTAGAAAGCCTGGCCGGTTGGTCTGCCGCAGACCCCACCTCGCTCTCCCGCCTGGCCTTATAGGGTTTTTTTTTTTCACCCACAGCTCTTTCCTCGTTGCCCCTGCCCCTGCCTCTGCCCAAAGCCCACCTATCCTATCTTTCTTCCCTGTTGCCTATCATCACCCCCAATCTCGGGCCAGAGCTATCATTCACCGCCTCCCTTCTGCGATCTTCATCTCCAAAAATGGCACATGGCATGCCTTCCAGTGCACCACATCCCACCACCCACGCTCTCTCCACGGCCCCTGTTTTCTCTCCACCGCCCCTGTTGTGTCCCTGTGTCCCGCAGCAAGGAAGAAAGTCAGGAGACAGAAAGGTTGAAAAGGCAGAGTTTATTGCTCTGGGCAGCAGCTGATTCAGCGCTGGAGGGTGGGGTCTGCAGGCTGAGAGTGCTGTGGGGGAGGGTCTCTTATTAGGGCTTTAGGGTTGTTGGTGGGTTTGTTTGTTTGTTTTGGTGGTGCTTTACACCTGAATGCAAGGCCGGGTTCCAGTCACTGTGGTATTGCCCATGTGATCACACTCAACAGCCCCGACTGGACAGGACACTTGTCTGGGCCCAGCGGCCGCTGCCTCGCTGCCTCGTTTCCTCCTAACCCCGGAGTCGGGTACCATCCAGACCAAGGCGGATGGGGTTCCCAGAACGATCCGCGTGGTTCCTCGGCTCCCGGGGCTCTTTTTAACTTAGCTCCACCCCAGGCTACAAACCCTACGTGGCCCCAGCTCTCCCGACCCGCCGCCGCCCAGTCCTTCCGCCGCGGGACCCGAGTCCCTCCCGCCTCCAAGCTGCGGGAGCGCCGGCCACACCTTCGGCCCCGCCCCGCTCCGCCCGCGGCCCAACCCGGCGGACGCTTTCTCTCGCGCCCTCGGCCTTCGACGCGGCCGCCTGCAAGCCCCGTCCTGATTGGCTGAGGCCGAGGGGCCGGGGTGGGCCTGGCTGTCTCGCCCAGGCTCGGGTTGGCCCGGGCTGGGCACGGCCGCCGGCCCGCGTGGGCCTTCGGGACCGCGGAGCCGGGAGCGTGGCGCCATGGCCGGGGTCCGCAGGCTGGAGCTGGCCGAGGCCCTGGCCCTGGGCCCCGGCTGGCGGCACGCGTGCCACGCGCTGCTCTACGCCCCCGACCCGGGCAGACTCTTCGGTCGCATCCCTCTGCGTTATGCCGTGCTGGTGAGGAGGGGGCGCGCCCGGCCACGTCGGGCCCTGCGACCGGCCGGGGGCCCCGGGCCATCCCCGCTTCCTCTTCCCGCAGATGCAGATGCGCTTTGACGGGCGTTTGGGCTTCCCCGGCGGCTTTGTGGACTTGCAGAAGGGCAGCCTGGAGGACGGGCTGAACCGCGAGCTGGACGAGGAGCTGGGCCCGGGCATGGCGTCCGTCCGCCTGGAGCGCGCCGACTACCGCAGCTCGCACGCCGGGCCCGCGCCGCGCGTCGTGGCCCACTTCTACGCCAAGCGCCTGACGCTGGAGCAGCTGGCGGCGGTGGAGATGGGGGCTCCGCGCGCCAGGGACCACGGGCTGGAGGTGCGGCCGGCCCGGGAGCCCCATCCCACGCCGCCGATCTCCCCACCCCCGGGTTCTCCCCGTCCCGTGTGCGTGGTGTCGTTGGGGTTTTCATCTGGATGACTGGGTACAGGAACCGGGGCTCCCTAAGAAGGTGTCTTCCCGTCCTCCCCACCTCCTTCTCTGCCTCTGCGAGTGTACAGAACAAGGGCTTCCAGCTCCCCGAGGGCAGTGGCCAGGCACTGTGCTTACGCAGGGCTCCTGTTTTTCTTGGGTAGATGTGGCCCGTACCTGGGAGGAAACCCAGCACCTTAGGGTAAGGAAGCAGAGGAACCTATAATATATGGAGATAGTTTTCAAAATGGCAGCTATCAGAATCTGGGAAGCTTATAAAACACCCATTGTTGGCCCCACTCCCAAGAGTGTTGACTCAGTGGGGTGAAGGGGAAGAACCTGAGAATGTGCATTTTGGGCGGATCCCTAAATGATGCCGCTATGGCGGGGCTGGATACCACATTGTGAGGATCTGGTGCATCCTGGAGGCAGGGGCCCCTGAAGGCTTAGTGATAGGAGACAGGACTAAGCCTACAGGGTTAAGTCGTTCTTTAGTCTGCAGAGAGCTGGGCTTACTGGGCTCCACCACAGAATGAGCCCTGATCTAGAAGACCAGCGTCAACCTGTTACAAGTGTCTATTTCTTTCACAGGTGATGGGCCTGGTGCGGGTGCCCCTGTATACCCTGAAGGACGGTGTGGGGGGCCTTCCGGCCTTCTTGGAGAATTCTTTTATTGGAACTGCGCGAGAGCAGCTACTGGAGGCCCTCCGGGACTTGGGCCTGGTGGAACCCGGCAGCCTTAAGCACTGCACCTCACTAGCGGCAGCCCTCCCTGGGCCCCCGGAACCTGGAGTCAGGACCTAGAGTGGAAGAGGGAGGAGGCGGGAATGGATCTCTTCTGGGCCTGTGATAGTAGCAGATGATAGGTTCAACGGAGAAGTGCGTGCAGTGTATTTGGAGCAGAGGGCCCCTGAACACTCAGCCTCGGCAGCTAAAGCCCGCAGCTTACCTCGGGCCTGGCACAGTCTCAGCCTGCATCCTCCCTGTCCATTTGCACACAGCTCATACTTATGACAGGCAAAGCAGCTCCAACTTCCAGGGCCGGAGGAGCTGAATGTTTGAAGTGGGGCTTGTGGTCTCCCTGGGCAGCAGGTTTCTCTCAGGCACTGCTGAGAAGATGCCGGTCCTCTTCGTAGTGAAATTAATAACATTAATTGCTGTTCCTTCCTGGAAAGTTGCACTTGCCCCAGAATTCTCTAATACTTCCTGTCCTTCCAAGCTCACCACCCCTGTAGGTCAAGTTCACCCTTCTTTGTACCATCCCCTCCTGGCTGCTATGGCAACCTGACATGTTCCCCTGGTGAGAGTCTTCCAAGAATTGTCTGGTCCTGCTGGGACATAGGCCTCACAGGTCAGAGACTCGATTACAGCAGACTCAGTAAGTTCTCAACAAAATGCCCACTGTACTCATGCTTCTGGGAGGGTTTGTCTCTTCCAGGACTCAAACAAAGCTTTCGAAGCTCATTTTGAATATGAGCTCATGTTCATTCTTTTTCTGGGCTCCCCCTTACCCCCCACTGGGCAAATCGCACTGGACTAGAATTTATCTCATCTACAAATCCAGTGAGTGGGTACTTTCCTATGTCTTGCGGGATCTTGGTGTCCCCTTCTCCAGGGAATCTCAAGGACAAGCCCTGTGTCTTCTGTTTAGCAGTGACTTGTCTGTAGTATGTGCTCAATAAATATTTGCTTGAATTATATTCATCTGTATAATGAATGGATGGATTGGATAAACTATCTCAGAGCCCCTCTTTGGCTTCTTGGTAATGTAGGAAGTACTTTCTCTCACTGTGTCCAATCAAACAGGTATTAATTGTTAATTGCTATGACAGGTTAACCAAACACACTGAAAAAGCTGTTTGGAGGTATTCTAGCGACTTCTTACCTCGTGACATCACACTTCCTGCTCATCAGATGATGGGTCCAGCATAGATGAACTCACCTAATGGACTTAGTGAGGCTTGGAGCCAAGGCCAGCCTTCGTGACTAGTATATGACAAGGTTTTGGTGGCCCCTAGCAACAATTCTAGGTTCTCTTCCACCTGTTTCTGTAGCTGAGGGCTTTATGTCCTTTCAAAAGCAGAATATCTGGGATTTTTAGAGTGCCCACATCAGACCAAGTATGTATTGACTGCATGGAGCTTTTAAAGATAACATTGTTGAGTTAAGGGGGTCGTATTGCTTCAGCTTCATAATATCATTTTAAGGGGATTAAGTTCCAAAATCATTGCTCCGGGCCTGCTGATAGGATGGCCTGATAGGGTTTGTCCTGTGCTCGTAGTATGGGCAGGTTAGGTTTGCAAGTTCATGTATTGTAGCTAATTGTAATTACACTATGGTGTGAATATAGCAGCTGTTCTTTCCCTACGTCCTAATGGATAAACTAAGTCCAGTGGATGTTTGATGGAATTTTCAAGTCGTTTCCTCCAACTGAAAGGCTTCCCATTAAACCTGCAGTCTGCAGTCTTGGCATTCTCAGCTAGAACTTTCTGGGCTTTCCAAGAATAGGTCTTCTAAAACTACAAGAAGTATGCAGCTGTCCCCGCTTTCCTATTTGAATTGAGATCTCGGTGTTTCTGGCTGAATTTCTTACTAAAAAGAGGGAAGCTACTTCATGGTTTTAGGGCTTTGTGAGTAAATACTACTCACTAGTTATATAAAACCAAACAAGACAGAAAAGAGCAAGTAAATATGTTGATAAGCCGACTCCAAATGCCTTAAACCTTTCTTTCTTGATGACCAACGAGAAAGTTTTGAGACTGGCCACATGCAGATGTGCCCAGAGTCCCTGCTGCCTGGGTCATTGCTAATGCATGTTGAGGTGCTTACCTGTCTGATGGCCTCATGGATGTCGACCCCACCAGGTGGGTGTCAGATTCAATTCTGGTTTTGTATCACTTCACCAGCTTTTCCACCTTAACTGACAGTCACAGAAACTACCAGAATGTGCAATCCTCGTGACCAAAGTTGCAGATTCAGGGTTCGGATTCTATTTCAGATGTGACAGAAACATTTTGTCTATGTTGACTATGTGCACTGCTGCGGGACACTGGCTGAAGCCCCTGCAATGAGATTTGGGAAGTCAAATATAATTTTTGACATGTAGGTACATCCCCTCTAACTGACAAACTTGTATTTTTAATGAAGTTTTGGGTTGAAAGTGCCAGAAGATCCAATTTAAATTTTCTTAGCTCATCTACCTGGAAATCTCAGAAATAGATGGATTTCAGGACAATGTCATCCAAAGGGTTAGTGTTACTCCCCCACTCCAAGGCTGGTGCCCTTACTTGTGTCAGAGTGGAGAGTCTTTAGCTTTGCTATGAGTGACCCAGCTCTGACCAGTCCTCTTGATCAGAAGAAGACCATCAGCTCACTGGAGGACTAAGGCCCAGCAGACCTAAATCGATTCCACTGTCAAGGGCAAGACTAAGTGAAGATCAGTTCTATTCAGATCTCATGGCTGCTAACCAGTGAGGAAAGGAAACAAGCGACACTGTCCAAAGCTACAAAATCGTGGCTCGGGAAGGCAGACCGTTGCCTCTGAATTAGGTACATGATGACTTTCTTCAACCAAAGTGTAGAGGGAGCGCAGGTCAAGCTGGAGTTGTGCCTAATTTCAAACAGTTGCCTGGAATTGAAGGATTTATTGAAACCAAAGGTGTCCTCGGCGATTTTCCCAGTCGCTCCCTTATTCAAGTGAGAGCCAGAATGGATTTTGTCCTTTACATGCGACAGTTTAAGACACCATAAATAACTACTTGGGTCTTAGCTCCTTTTGTTTGGAATGCTTAAGCAGAGAGAAAATCAAGTTTTCTCCCCTGGCATAGCCACACAACTCCAAGTCAAAGCTGAATATTCAAACCTCAGCAGCAATATCTCAAATGGCCAGTTTTTGAAAAATCACTTACAAATTAGGCTGTTCTCCAGAGGGAGTTCTTTGCTTAAGCGACTATAAAATTGGTAATATGGTTAGGACTCAAATTAATGGGCTGGTGTAGTCTTGCAACAGGCTCTCCTTGGCCAGCACATTTAGCACGAGGCCTCTCTGCCTTGAAGCCCTGTCATCCGACGTTTCCAACTGACAAAGTAACACTGGCCCACCTGGAATCTCTGAGTGCACTGAAAGGCTATCACCTGCATGGACAAATTGACCGACTCCTTCCCAGGCATGTGATCTCAGTCACTGTACCTCACCTGCAGTCATAGTTGATAGGGCCTTGCTCCTGGGGCTGCGGCCTGTGGTGTCCTGGCCTGCTGTCTGGGTCCTGAATCCAGCCAAGCTCTGACCACCAGGAGGCATCTTTCGTAAATGCAGCTGAGCTTCCTGAACATACGATATGATGCACATCATCATATAATTGCTCACATTAACGTCATTTCACTCCTGTGTTCATTTTACTAAAAAAAAATATTCAAACATCAGTAAAAAAATCACACAGAGAACATCCATATGCCATGGCCTCCATTCGGCCATTCACACTTTACTTCATTGGCTCTTCCGATTTTATTCCTCTTGCTAGCCCTTTCTCCTATCGTCCCATCACATTTTTCATGTAGATCAAGATAAAGTGCAGATAGATACCAGTATACTTCACCCCTAAACATTGTGTTAAAATGTGTGTACTGTGAAATGCACTCATCCATTTCTCACAAGTTCATTATTTTTTAGTAGAAACATTAAGTTGAATTTAAAGCTCTGCTCATACTGTGTTTTTAAACTAATCAGCCAGTGTTTTAGCTGAAGTCACCCTGCATTATAACAGTATGTAAGTTCCAGGTGTGCATGTGCTAATCTTGCTGGCATTTCAGATGCACATTGGTGACTCAGACCTCAGTGAAGATAAACAACATCATCACCCCGAAAGTTCCCTCAAGCACCTTCCAGTCGGCCCCCAGCCCCCTCCCCTACCCGGCCCTGCCCTATCCAAGCCAGTAGATTTGGTGGTTCTGAAATTTCAGGTAAATGGAATAATAGAGACGTGTTCCTGCTGGGGCCGGCTTTCATGGGCCAGGGCTCCTGCCCTTTCCAGGGACGCGGGGGGAGGCTGCTGTCCTCTGCCCTCACAGGCACCAGCCCTCTCTGAGTTATTCCTTGCTTCAACAGATTCATTCTCGGAAACGGTGTCAAGCACGCTGGCACATGCAGCCTGGTCCGCTCACAAGCACCAAGCTCCACCGTGGTACCAGGAGGCCACAGAAGTGGCTGAGAGAGCCCAGGGGCAGCAGGACTGCGAGCCGTAAGGCGTAGACCAGTCTGCAGGCAACGGCGGAACTGAAGCAGAGTGCGAGAGGAAGGACGCAGGTGCTGGTGCTTTGTCGCCAGAAGACAAAATGGCCATCTCCGATCATCCAGGAGCCAGGGACTCAGTTTAGAGCGACAGATCAGAGGTAGCTGTTAATTTTTTTTTATCTTAATTTTATCACATTTTTTTAATAATATAGTAGTTTATTTTTTACATCATTTTGTACTTTTTTTTCATCTCAATTGTAATCCCCGCGGGTTTCCCAGTCACCTGCGTGCCATCACCATAATCCCGTGCATTCTCCTCCCCGCCCCCCGTTTTTGGTCCCATTCCCCACTCCACCCCCACAAAACGTCTCTGGTATATGGTTGTTCATTATTTTTGTTATATTCTTGCCTGGTCCATTATACTCCTGCTATGAGTGAAACCATCCGGTATTTTTCTTTCTCTTTCTGGCTTATCTCACTCAGCATGATCTTTCCCAGCTCCATCCAAGTTGCTGCAAAAGACATGTGTTTCTCTTTTTTGGTTGCTGAGTAATATTCCATTGTGTATATGTACCACAACTTTTTAATCTAGTCATCTACTTTTGGGCATTTGGGCTGCTAGCTGTTAATTTTTTAAAAAGATTTATTTATTTATGTATTCAGATGAGGATACAGGCCAGAGGTGCAGGGGCGGTGAGAGGATTCACAGAGACAGAGCAGGGAGCAGAACAGGCAGATGGACGAAGCACACTGCTGAGGGGAGCAGCGGGCGGGTCAGGAGAGGTCTGCCACACCATGTGGTCACCTCCAGGCTGGGTCTGCAGCTCACGCGGAAGCGGCTGCTGCCAGCTTGCAGTGCTGCGTCCAACCCATTGCGCCCCCAGGGAGGGCCGGTGGTTGCTCATTACCGGTCATTTTCTGTCTTCAGCAGAGGTGGACAACATTGGGGGCTTTACCAAGTGTAACAAAAACTGATGTTGCACTTTCTGGTGAAAACATTTCAGTGGAAATGTTTCAGCTACTGAGACTTTGAAATCCACTGAACTCAAGCCTAGAGAGAACCATGGACGATAATGAAATTTGTGAAATTTATTGAAAGATGGGATTTTTGTGAACCCGTCAAGCTTATAGCTAAGACTTTTCCTAATTTGTCTGGCTGTTGCTGTGAGAGAAAGAAAATTTTCAAAGTTAAAATTAATTAAAAGTCCTCCCTGCCATGTAAGGGGAGACAGGTGGGCAAGTCAGGTGACCTGATCTTAACAGAAGCCAATTTTGACAAAATCACTCACGTTTGCAGAAGTTATTGCTCAAAAACAAGATCAAAATGTTATTT